GGGGGGGGAATGGCGACTGCCGTCAAATACTTGGCCATGCGAGTGACGGGGGACAAGAATATTCTACCATCCACGGTCCCATAATGCAGCAATTTTTTATCGCAAATTGGAGAATCGCGACTTTCCATTCTTCGCGAAAATTGCCTCCTCTTTTACGTTTTTTTTTTTTTTTTCCGAAAGTGTACATTTTAGGAAAATAACGACCGAAGTAGTGCAAAAATGCGTGGGCACTTCCGTGAACGAAAAGAATAGTGGCCCTCTCCTTCCTGTTCTCTGCTACCACCCCTCTTCACATTTCAAAAAGTATTTTTGTAGCGTGATGTTGTACAATTTTGAGAAAAAAAAAAAAAAAAACTTATAAATCTATAGAATTCTCAGTAATGGCATAAAAGCGTAATATTATTCGACTTGTCATAAAAAATTGAAAAAAATTTTGTTAATAGTCGATCTGCACAGGGAGCTTTGATAGTTGGGTGTGATAAATTTGGAGGGTATCGAAATTGAAAATGTGCTTTTGACGTGTGATCATTATTGAACTTGATTAATTTCCCAAATCTTTTCTCTCACGAACTTCAATGGCCACGTGGAACGACCTTAACGCCATCTCGTTAGGAATTAGAACAATTAAACCGGCGTTTTTTAACGATGCTTTAACGAGACTTTTTTTAATTTTACGAGAGGGTGCGGCCAGTTTAATCCCAGGGAATGGGGGGAGACATGCCACGCGGACTTTGCTTCTTGTCACGCGATCCTTTCCACCATGGCGTGACGAAGATAGACGTGTCTAGGATAACCATAGGCCTCTACAGGGTGTAACAGCGTTATAATAAAAGTCTAGGAAAGATCTCAGAGAGGTCCGAGAGGTCGAGGAGGTCTGGGGCAAACCGTATCGAGTTGATCTTTCGCTGCAGATTTTCCTTCGCGATTACACCTACATGATCTACAATACTATAGATCATTGAAGCGTACATCAGTGCGTAACGAACCGCTAACGTAGAATTACTTGAGCTTAATATAAAAATGGGAATTTACAAATATTACAAAAGTTGTAATTTATTATACAAAAAGTCAATACACTCCAATGACAAAAATATTTAAATTCGATTTTTGTTCATTTATCAAAATTTCTTTTCTAAAATACAAAACGGAGTAGCACGTTCTGTATACTTTTGTTGTTGCAATTTGATAGAACGTTTTATATGAAATATGAATTGTTCTGGAGATAGTCGTATGAAATCTAAAATACGAAAACGTTCTAGTAACATTTTCAACAATTGTATAATAACTGTAAGGGTCGTACCACGTATTTGATAATTTAAAACAATAAAAATAATCGATTTGGAAGATTGAGTTCGCAAAAAATTTAAGTACCCATCATAATCGCAACACGTAAAGGATATATTGTATATAATAATCGTGATAATCTCCGTCCAAAATTTCCGCCTTGAAAGTGCGCCGGGGTCGACGTTAAGATAAGAAAGGAGGCAAAAGTTAAGAAACAACGAAATTTAGTTCGAGGGAACTTGCGTCGGAGACGCCTGAAAGCTTTAATTGAACCGGCAATTGGGTATATCGTACGCTTTATTTTGCACACGTAAAAACATTATTCAAACTCAAGAAAGAAAAAAAAAATTATTATTCAGTTCAGCGATTTGTTTGCCTATGAAATTTTACCATTTTCAATAACTTCTTGCTGCTTTCACTTTCTTTTTGGCAACCGAAGAATGGGAACGTTCATTTATTAGTTTTAATGAGTTTCAAGTTTTCTCTTTACTTACAAATAACATATCAGTAATTAAAAATAAATATTTTTTCCGTATATTTGACTTACTTACTTCTTTTTCCATTTTATTCGCAATACCATTAATTACAAAAATAATTTGATGCGCGCCTTAATTACTTTCGTACAATAATTAAATACCAAAGTTTTATGCGTTTGCCAATAGAATTAAAAAGAAAATGTTAATAAATGTACTTTGAAATTCAGTTATATTTCATTTTCGAATGTATTACTCCACGTTAAACAGCGCTTCTTCTTCTGAAAAACAAAACATTAATGCACTTGCAGGAAACTTTTTGAAAAAAGTTTTGAGCCAAATTACAGTAAAACGAAATAAGTTCCTCTTTTACAAGCGTCGAAGGAGTTTCCAAATATATATATATATATTATTATTACACCATATTTATGTACAAAACGAACTGTGTTCAAACTTCTGTTATTAATACTAGAAAAACATAATTACAGAGTGAAAAATCACTTTTACGCTGCGAACTACATTAAGAAGATGGCCCTACCCCCGTCCCATGAAGGAGTCCATTTCTAATTCCAACTGTAGTCAGCATTTAGATGACCGAAAAAAAACATTTCCCAAAAATAACGTGATATAAGACAATCTTCATTAAAACGTAATACGCAACCATCGCTGAATAAAATAGATCAGTAACAATGTACATGAATTAAAAAAATGCCTGTCTATTTCTTTGAAATACAGTAATTCACTGACCCGGAAAAAAAGTACACTTCTGCGAAAAGAAAATCCTTTAGCGAATGCTGCTCCGGGGCCCTCCACTTCGAAACGCTTATCAGGCGAAAGTTTCAGTAAAAGGAAGGAGACACCGAAATAAATAAAACTTGCCGTAAATTCGAACGCAACAACATTGTGAAGCCCATTGCGTGACAATAGCAGGGAACAAAGAGAGGAAGGAAAAGCAGAACTGTAGATTTTCCGGGATAACGTTGAACTCGGCGAAAGAGGTCGAAAGACCCCGCTCTAGCCCCTCGAGGCTCGATGACAGGGAGCTGCAAACCAGATAACAAAGCGAAAGGGAATAACGAGATTAGCGAAACCAAGCGATTAAGACAGCCAATGGGAGTCTTCGAAGGATTTGTTAAAGTACCGAGAACGAATTAGACCAAGTGCTGGAATCAAGATAAATATCCACTTTGTTCATTGGACCGTGTAGTATAACTTTTACACCCTGTATATGCTGTATATGCTGCCCTCGCTTTGCGGCCACGTGCTCGCACTTTTCCTTTTTCTCCTAGCTAATTAAGCAATCTTTGTTCCCATTCGAATCGTCGTAACCGTCAGTTCATTTCATTTTCCAAAACCAAAGATCTCGGCGCTACAGATTCAACTTGGATCCCAAGATCCGGAAATGGCTGACCGAGATAAGTTATTGCTGGGAAAATATACAATTTACATAAAAGAAATATATATATTTATTCCACTGGCGGGCTCGAACATAGGGAATTGTTATGTTTGGCTTTTGAATAAATCGTAGGCGTTCATCTTCGCTGCAATGGCCGGTATTGAGAAAAAAGTCACGAACAATGCTTCTTTATCGGTCAGTTCAATCTCTCGATTGTGGAGAGAGTGCTAAAAGTTGAAAAATGTACGAATATCGATTTTAGACACCCCTTCTATGATAGGGGATAATGACATTTATGTGGCAGATGATGGGTTGTCAGATGGCATACAAAAATATAGTGGTTTACATTTTTTTTGGACAGCAAATTAAAAATATGTCTTATTGAATGTATATTTAGGTGACATACTACAAATACAAAAAAAAATCATTTACTATCCTGTATGACAGTTTTGCTATTTATATAACCGTTTGTATTCATTCGCGAAAAGCTATTTGTCGAGTACATATGTGTAAAGATGAAATCTTAATTAGGTACACAGGGAATCTATGTATATAAAATATTACAAATTTACGCACAATGTGAAATCAAGTTTTGCATATTTCGTATAACGTATTCAGAATAATATTTGCTTTCGCGTTACGTTAATAAAATACTTAAAAATGCAATGCCATGCACTCTAAAGCTTTTTCTGCATGCTGGTAACCACTCCAATTACAGACAATATTAACTGCATCGCTATATTAAAATACTTGAACAGGTAAAACACTACATTGCTTATTATTTATTATACATGAGTGTACTTCACGGAACTGCAAAATGTAAATGATAATCAGATAAATTATCGCGATAATTTACCAAACAAGTAGACTACGCCAGTGAACCCATTACACGTTCAGTGCAGTGTTTAGTTTGTTATGAAGCGCGTGTTGTTTAAACTGTACTTCAACGAAAAAAAGAGTGTACGAAACTTTGGTATTAATTCTCATAAAGGCGTATATTTATAGCAGTAAAATGTTAAAAGGTTAAATATCAATTTTTAATTAATTCCAACTAAAAGAAAAACAATGCGTTATAGTTTATGAATGGTAAAATAAAAAATATTTCCATACTTACGCCGATGTGAACAGTGCCTGAAAATATGAACGCATCCGTTTGAAGGCGAAAGTAGATTTCTTGTTTTACACTAATTGTTTAATTAACACACATTAAAATTGTTATTAACGTTTTCCTTTCAAAGTGCCATATTACTGTCCATGTTAACTTTACATTGGAAAAAGTCCATGCGCGACTATTGGAGTTTATATAATTTAACTTCTAGAAAAGGTGATTAATCAATTCCGCAATCAAGTAAAAATTAATTATAAATTATTGCTTACTTCTGATTTCATTGAATCGATAGAGCCTCGATTATATCATTATATATATTATTATTGGCCGGCAACTGTAGTCACACTTGAAATATCTCTTGCGTAGTGTCAATGTAGAATATTTTCTTGATTCCAACGAATCTCCTGATTCTATGGGAATCAATGTATCTTGGATTTTTTAAGAATATCAAACTCTTCGACTTGTTCTGTCAATCATTTTATTCGTTCACTGTTACTTTTGGTTTTATCCGTGAAAATCTTTACCGCCAAAACTAAGAAAGAAAATCCTCTATTAATATCTAAGTATTTCTAATAATAATTGCTTGATATTTTTTTAATCAAACTATTTACGGTTTTTGAGAAATATACGTAACGGGTAGAGTTGCTCCTAATTAACACGAACTACCATCATCACTCAATTTGCTTTCAACGTAAATTTGCCCTTAACAAAAATCTTCGGTGTATCTAGTGTTAATACCAAAAACAGATTTTGCCATATAAATTTTTCAAAGGCAAATGCCTGCAGCCTTAGCAGTGAAAAAGACGAAAACGTTTTCAAGGATCAAAAGAATTTTCTTTCACGTTATAATTCTATGAGATGCAGTACCACTGCTCTATTCCACGAACAAACTAATAAACCTTTTATCTCAATCCGAAGGAATTCAAGTCAATTATTAAAAACCACAATCAACATTAATTTGAAGGTTATTTAAAAAAAAAAAAAACTCCTAACATTGTTCCATTTTGATTCTAAACTTTTGAAATTTCAAATAAACATCTTCCGCAATCATTAATTATTTATTAATCGGCAAATTTTTATATTTTTCACAAATAACGTTATATCCCAATCAAAATTTCATTTACCCATACAATTAAATACTGACATCAATGAGATTCTCAAATTGAGTCATACAATTTTTCCTCAAATATCTTCACCAAGACACGTCACCGAATAAATGACGAATGTTCCGCTATCAAATTCTCTGCTCCTCAAAATATAAAAAAAATGTATTCGTGTCAGACCGTATCCCTGTCAAAGAAACAGTCAGAATCCAGATACATTTTCACAGCTTTTTTTCGCGCGAGTAAACCATAGTTTATTTATCGACTCATGAGAAAACACTTTCCTGAAAATTCCGCACTATGAACCGAGCATAACCTAAAGACGCGTCAAGGGATTCAAGGAGTAATAATGAAGCGCGTTTCCAAAGAAGTCGAATAGTGAATAGGGAGTGCGAGTACAGTCACTGCATTTAAACGAAACGTATTCTCCCTCTGGGATTTCGAAGCGAACTGCAGGCTGCAGCGGCAATCTTCGCCACTTCTGCCTCGAGATCTGCGCAGGCGAGCCAATGCCGTTAGGGTTGCCACCACCCGAGCCCCAAAACCCACACCCTCAAGCCCAGTCTCTGCCACTCGCCCAGTCGCCCAGTTGCTCAGCCGCCCTTCCTAGTGAAGGATTTGAAAAACTTTTGAGCGTGAGATACATTTATGGAACCACGTCTTGTATAGACGCCATATTACCTCTAATGCTTTATTCTATACATGCCTGTACGCTCGGACCAATAAGTATCCTTGGAGAGACTAAAATTAACGATTGAATATAATTATAATTATTATTTATTTAAATGCTTTCGCATATCATTTTTCAAAATTTAATCCCGTATGATCCTTTCAATTTTTATTTAAATTATTTTTCTTTAGTGAACTAATAATAGTCATAATATACATATCATTTAACACTACTAGCGAAACGATTTATATTATACTTAAGAATATTTAGGATCCAAAAAGACATACAAAGAAAACACATTTTGAGATTCAAATTGACCGAAATACATCTGTGATTAATAATTTACCGTGGAAATAATTTGCACAACAGGGTGAGGGATGCATAAAAGAGATGTTATACAATTTATTGGATCTTTGACTCTCAAACGTATACGACTCATTCGCACGGTAATAACCTGTCAAAGGAACAATCGATATTTCAACGAAACATTTTTGGATCGTTTCGTAATAACTGAAATGCATACTATCTTTCAAATTAAAAATATCGTGGACTTTTGGAGTCAGCAAAGTAAAAAGGTAAATCGAAATTCAATAAACCTACCCAAACCTTGGTTGTTTGGTAAAATCTTTTCCTTTTCAAAGTCAACGAGTCAGTTTTCATTATAAAAGATTATTGCTTATCGATTATTATTATACGACGTGATATTATCGCTCGTATACAAGAAAAACAGCAACTTCTTATCATCCATATGTCAACAATTTATTTTCGTTGATATGTGTGTCCCCTTAATGCTTTTTCTCTGTTTACTTACTTTGAGCTTTCGGAAAGCTTTTCTCAGCTCGATTATATTGTGTGTGGGGAGTGAGGAGGGGAGGAGGGACAGGGGGTTGAAAAGAAAAGAAGCTGACGATAGACGATCATCTTTGATATCGCAGGGGTGTGCAAGACGCGGAACAACGAATGATCATCGGAACGTGAATTATTATCTCGTTGGTAAGTATAATTAGGCTGTAGATATCTATATGTATATAGTACATATAGTCTCTTACAGTATATGCCGTACAATTTGAGTAATGATACTGTGCGTTTGGTCTTTGAACTAGTGGGTGCTGTAAACTGAGGTATGCGATAGATCAAAAGTACCATATATTGGGATTAGGGTAAACGTATGTAGATTTAATCTTGCTTGCTGGAATAAGTATTGAGACGGACCTGCAGTAAATAGGATTTTGTGATGCGCGTCGAGTCAAAATATTTATGAAGTAATGTGTCTGAAAATTTGTAGGCATCGCAATGCATATAGGGAATGTGTAATAGCGAAGGTAGGAATTATCAATGATTCATTAGCCTTGTTCCACCAAGTTCTAAAGCCGACGTAATAATGGAAATCGAGTAAAGCTCATTTCCTAGGAATAAGCTTGAATCAAACGTCGTGAAAGTTTTCGATCGCCTAGAATGTGAATGATTGGAGTATGAAAGAGTTCTTTCGTATAACTATACGATGCGTAAGAGTGAATCATTTTCGAAGCTGTAACATACGAGTTTTGTGTCGATTTGTTCGATTTTTTTCTGTCGCATCTAGCTATTTTTTTAAATCGATTGAAAGATTTTGTGAAAAAATGAATGTACATTTAAAGTATTTCATTTGACAGTTGCACGTATTATTTATGCTAACTTTGTGATTATTATATAACTTTATCTTTGAATTGTCACGTTCCTTAATTCGGTAAGACATTCTTTTTTTTTAAAAAAGACTTAATCTCGAATGACAAAGCAGTAAAAAAGTTATTTTCCTTCGTCATATAGTATACGGCTCGCAAGTTATGGTCTATTTTTGAAAACTTTACATAAAACTTCTTGATTGAATTTTGTTATAAACTTTGAGAAATTCTACTACTTATCCTATAGTCATTTTTATTTATACCGAACCTACGCTATTTTGGATCTGCGAAAGAAAAATCATGACGTGCTACTAATAAATGTTTTAGCTGATAAATCATGCGCAATAAATACTATATGCGGGTTATGGGGAATTCGATGTTCAATGTATACATAGTATAAATTTCCATTCATAATTGTCTTAACCAGGGCCCAGCCATGAATTAAAACGGCCCTGGACACAGAATGAAAAATTTCTGCCCTGAATCAAGCCATTTCATTTCCTTCGAGTATTCAAGTACTTAAATCCTACATTACTATTAAAATTATATTATATTTAGACTGATTCATTTTTTAAATCTCTTGTAACATCAACGAACCATTCTTACCTGAAAACTGACCAGAAAATTTTTTTCAAGTAGATGGAATATGAGTATGTGAATCGATAAAAAAAAAAAGAATAAAACAATCATCGTACAATTTCAACAATTCGACAATTGCGATACAGTATCAACTTTTCATTTTTAAGTCAATAATTCATAAACGTTACAAAAACAATATAGAACAACGTACGCAGAGGTACGTCATAGGAATTTAATTTTATTTATAAAAATATAAAAAATAAAGGTGAAGCGCATGCACAAAGTAATGATATTACAAAATAAGAATAAATATACGTTAAGCATATATTAAAATATAAGAGAAAATCGGAATTCACATTATATTAAATCTCTTTAACAAGAATATAAACAAATTACATGTAAAAGGGAATACCAAGCAGAAAACCCTTAAAAAATGCGCGATATTCAAAATGAGATCAGGTTATTATCCATTATAAGATTATGCATAGAAAAAGAGTGCAAAGTGCTACTTTGCATAAAGATTCCGTCATTGAATGGATAATCGATCCAGAGCCGAATACCTGTTCGGAAAGTTCGGCCATAGATATTGAAATGAAAGAACTCGTTGTTGGAAATTGGGGAATTACAGGATTTTCGAGTAAGTGATTCTGACGATGAACCAATCATTTTTGTCGCTCACTCGGTACAACTGATTACGCGAAAAGTCACTTAACGAAATGGATTCGCAGACTCCTCCTGCCATTTATTTCCGATAATCGGATGCTGACTATAGTCTGCGGTGCATACGATGTACCGTCAATTAATTTTCTACGACGTTCGCAATGATCGCTCCATTCACGTGTAAAGAATAATAACGGAATATATTGATTTATCATGCTATTTTATATCTGCCAGCACCCCTGCCATATCGATTCGTCATTTAAATCATTATTCAGATCAATTATTTAAAATGGATTTTTCTCATAATTATACATACATGACAATTTTCAAAATGGTCAGCCGAGTGAAGTTCTACTTGATACGAAATGGTTTCAAGCTGGAAGTAGACGTAACTTTATCTTTTTCAAATAGAGAACAAATTCGCGGGCTAATGACATTATGTATATGTCACTCCAGGTATTTTGAATTCCGCTAATTTTTCAACATAACGTAGAATGCATAATATTGAGACTTTTATCGAATATGCTTTTTTTTTTCTTTTTGGCAAAATATTCTAAAAAACATACTCATCCGAAATGCTGTGGACTCAGGAGGAATGTTAAAGGATATTTTCGTCCCGTTTAACTGAATTACACGGGTAACACTTTCACATCGGCCTTTCAGATGAGCGATATTTTTTACCTTAAAACTTTTTCTTCGCACGGCATGAAATTCGTGAAAATTCATATTCGCAAAGCATTTTCGTATCCTCTTAAAAATCCGTTGATCACAGGAGGTCTTTTCCTAATGTAATAATAGGCTATAGAAAATATCCCAGACAGCTCATTAAGGGATTATTTAAACAAGGATCTGGAAAGTTTAATTGAGAAAATTATACGTCAACTGGAATCCCAGGGAGAATTCAGAATCGCCGTAAAATCATAAAAGCGTGAAAGGAAGGATTTTCCCAAAACTTCCTATTCCACCTTTTGTCCAAGTTTTTATGTACGTAACGAGAAAGAATATATTATTTATCAAATTATTATACATATTTATACTCTCATGTTCCTGCGCCATCTCCATCCGGAATTTAATTTCTCATGTAAATTTCAAGTCGATCTGTTCGACGTTTCGTTGAAAATTTTAAATACAGCTTTTTGATATTAACGTGTAGAATATTTTGGCATGCGTCACATTTAAACCGGAAGTGCCGTACACGTCGTCGTACAGTATGAACTACGCATAGACGTAGAAAAAATGGTAGCAATGGTAACAACGGAAAGAAAGAGATAGCGACTGGTGGCGGCCAAGTCCTTTCTCTTTCCAATCAGCAGCCGTAGTACAAAAGTATAAAGAAAGTAGTCAATAATGGAATTAGAAAAGCAGAGCGATTGACCGCCACCTTATATCCTTTTTGTTCGTCTGAACGGTCACTTTTTCAAAGGATTTGATATAGGGATCGCGTAGTCCATACTATTTGTCAATGGTTGTACAACTGCAAATAATGCTGTTTCAATTACGACCAGAATTTGATAACCCCTATAAATTTGATAAATTATTCGATACATGAAGAATAGTTGCTAAAAAGTTATAAACATGAATTTTCCAAAAGTATACATAGTCATGTTATGATATTGGAAAAATATATCTCATTTACCATTTTTCGAAATCAGTGCAAATCTATAGTTCTCTATTCAACGTGACCTGTCGTATCGTATTTTCAGGAAGAAAAAAGTAATAGAAATTCTTACGATAAGAAGCGAGCAAATCTCATGGATGGCAAATCGAAGAAAACCTGCCTCGATTCCTTCCATTCGAAGTGACGACCGGTGCTGCAACCTGCCGACACAGAACCGACATTTCCCGAATTGCTCTCGAGCTGCTTCAATAAACTTTTTGCTCGATCCGACATGGTCGTTCATATTTAAGGGCAACATTCCTGGACCTATTGGTTT